GAACCGCTCGCTACACCGCTCGGTTTCGCTCCGTACACTGGCAATCCCGCTTATTACCAATGAATGGATGTGTTCGCGGGGAGGCGGAGTCCGCCCCCTCCTCCACCGGAGTTTTACAGTACAGACAAATCACTTGCAGGAGCCGGGAGAGCACGACCACAGGCCGTTCTTTAAACTGCACTTTCGTATATATAAGCAGGTCAAACTGTTCTTCATATTTCCTTATTGTTGTGTAGACAAATGCACTTCCACATTGATTCATGTTGATGTGTTGCTAAATATTATTTCAAATCGATATAATGAATATAAACATGCTGATTAAGAAGTGAGTCTTCTTGCTCTTCCAGGGTTAGAGCTCCATTGTTCCAAGATTTAGAATATATCTCAGCCAATCACAGCGGTTGTTCTAACCTAAATCATGTATGAAGCTTGCTGTGCAGCCATAGGCTAATGTTCTGTCTGGGAACGCCCACTTTTGAGTTACATAACTAATACTTAAATGACCCACCCCCCACCAACTCAACTCACCATAGGCACATGAAAATGCAGAACAATTCTATAACCTGATTTTTTTTCTTTTTTTTGTCTTTCACAGTCAGGAGGAGAATCCGTGGTGAGTCATAATTACACTTTTTTTTTTTTTTTTACATATCTGTGATATATATTTTTTAAATAAATAAAACAGTTAGTCTGTGTACCCACCAGGGGTCAGTAACACCCCATCAGTGAGCGCGAAAATCACCCTGTCGGTTTACTCTCTCTGCAGGCCAAGAGGAGATCTCTCAGGCTGAGTGAAGTGAGTAGAAACAAGCCCACACTGTCACAGATGATATGCATGCCGTTAACTGACTTCTTATGCTGACTATTCTTTTTTTCTTTTTTTGTTCCAGCAGAAACCTGTACCTGCAAAGGCAGAGGCCAAACCTAAGCCAAAGGTGAGTTTTTGTATTCATTACCTCTGATTAGATTAATTTATTAGACTCCCGACTGTTGACTAATAAGATGAATATTTTTGTTTTGCAGAAGGCACCTGTTAAGCCTAAGAAAGCCAAGGAGGTGGAGAAGGCCAAGCCAGAGGAGAAAGCACAAGAGGCCCCCGCTGAGAACGGAGAAGCCAAAGCCGAGGAAGAGGTGATGCTCGAAGCATCGTATAATAAACATGCAAAATCCACCAAATCTCCTGGGCGATGAAACTAAAACACTTTTAAAATTTGTTCTGTTTTCCAGGCACCAGCTACAGAAGAAGCTGATGATAAAGATGACGCGGCAGAATAACATCTCTCAAACCACATCTTTTACCAGTGCTCCCTGTACCTCTTTTCTTGTACAATTCAGGGGAATATTTTTATCAACTATTTTCTAAATACAGGTTTTTTAGTAGTTTGATTGTAGAGAACACTTTTTTTTAATGAAAGAAAAAAAATGTCAATTTGGAGACGGGAATTTCGTCACATCCCACAATTTTGCATCGCCACAAAAAATCGCGGTCGTTGTTGTTACTGTCAGTGGATTTCATTTCAGTTTTAAATGTGAAGGAGGGAGGGTGCAGGACAGGTTACCGTGTCGGCGCCAAGCACGGCGTTCACAGGAGCTGGGGCAACAACCGGAGGAGTTTGTCCGCGTGGATTACATTCCATATGCTTTATAAGGGACAGTGTATGTAATCTGTGCCGGGGTGGGGATGGACAAAGTCACAGGGCAACTCATTGTTTTATTGTTTATAATGAAGAACAGTGTTTTAGAATGTTTGTAAGCTTTGTTCTTATATGTTAACTCTTGTACTCATGCAGTTTTCTTAATGAATTTGATCAATACAGCTAAAATCCCTAGTACTGGAGCTCTCCTTATCAGAACTGTGCATCGCGTGTGTTGGTTGTGTCTCTGTTCTGTGATAGCATCGCAATAAATTTGTATAGCTGCTGTGAAAAAAACAAGGTTTTCAATCTTTCTATATGCAGTGTGTAATGGTACATAGTAAGGATGGTAAAAATGGAATCTGTTTTCTTAGCCAGAATAATGAGGTGTAACCATCAAAAAAAAAAACCTGTTGAGATTGGCGTCTTAAAGGCCAACAAACAAACTGTACATTTATTTGAGATGTCAAATGCATACCAGCAGTAGCAATATTAATGTGGGTTTTAGATATCTGTATCAAGTACAAGTGTGCAGTTCCTTTTATTTGTTTATAGATGTACCTGTGTAATGATTGTTATCAACAAATAAAACTCGGTTGGTAGTTGTTGCGCTGTTTCATTCTGAGGTGTTGGTTGATGATCGAGGAGAAGACCGCAGAAACATTGCAGTAACTGATCTAAAAGCTAAAGCTTTAAAAGTTCAAAGGAGAAAAAAAAGAAATCTAGCTAATTCGAAAAAGTACAAAACAAGAATATGTAAAAAGTGTGCTAGATTCGCTTCCAGATTCAGCATTGATTGTGATTTTATAAGCGGTATGTCACTAGTTTAATTGTGCAAGCATGTAAAGTGCAACAAATTGGAGGTTGTTAGTGTATCATTTCTACATGTAAAATAAAGCTTTATTCAATATTTGCATTTTGTTCAAGGTTTACCAGCAAATGTGTCTTCAAGGTGAAGAGGACGAGTTTAAGTTCAGTCCAAGGAGTGGTGCTTTACTAGAGCACTAACATAGCAGTACACCAGCATCATAGTAGCAGAAACACGTGTGTTGTTTAGCTCATCCCTGTAGAACCATTTAAAATGTCCCCCGTCACCTATTATTAAGCCACTCTTAAAACACTGGTTTTAACAGACGAAGAAGAGTTTCAGCACCGTGGACAGCTCCTCACTGGACCGTCGGTTTATCAGCTCTTATTCCACCCCCCCAGCATTTTCACTTTGACCAGTTTTGTGATGCATTCACATCACCTTCACAAAATGATATTTACCCTCTGTGTTAGTAAACAAACCGATAACGTGCGCCATTACGTATCTCTGATGCAGTAGCGGTAGTACGCTTACTTCCGGCTCTGCTGTGATTGGTCGTTGGAAAAGGTTACGAGGGAGGTACATGGAAGATTCACTTTACCATCTTCTTCTTCCCGGTGGAGCTGTCAGATGGGTTTCTTTCCGTAATCACACAGTATGCAAACACGCTACACTATGCTTCACTCAGAACCACTAGACCACTTGCTTCTGTTGCTAAAATGCTAAATGTCTATAAGTACAGCTAAGGAAAAACGCCATGAAGAGATCCCTAACGGATGCTTCAAGTGATGGGGGATAACATGCACAGTCCTTCACACATGCATTCTATGGGTTCACCTGAAGCTAATGTGAGGCCACCGCAGTCAAACATATTGTCTCCCTCCCACAGTTCGTCTTTTCTGTCAATAAAAGTCTCTTTGTGGAGTGTTTCCCCTGCAGAGCAGCAGAGCAGCGGAGAGTAACACAAATACAAACGTTCGTAGTAAAGAGGATGGAACTTTGAAAGATACTCACATAATTTGTGTCACTCGTATTGCAGAAGATTAAATGGAATGCAGTTTTGCACATTACAGGGACTTGATTTTTCCCCCCTCCTGACACTTAAATTGGAAATTGCATGAGGGATCCTTTCCCAGTCAGAGGAACATGTTCCAAATGTCCATATGGGTATAAATATAAAAAACCTGGGGTAGGGGGGCCCAGAGAGAAAGCAGATCAGCAAGCGATGCCATTTCGAAAATATTACTGTGTTCGAGGAATAACCCCTCTCAATTTCCAAATGATACCATTTTCTCAAAAAGGCAAAACCAGCTCCGTCATGGTTTTCTTCCTTTTGTTTTTTTTATTGGTAAAATAGTCAGTAGCAATCTATAACAAAATAATAAGCTTATTCTGCACAAACCATAACAAACTGTAAATAAACTACAAATAAAACTATTCAATAAATGAACAACTTCTTTGGTATTTTTGTCCTATTGAAATTTGCAATGACGACAGTCTGGTATGCCGATATTGTCGAATGTCAAGTCTCTATTTGATCATGTGATGAGACGATAAGATATACGGTCGCTAGTTCAGGCGCATAATCTGTCGAGCTGAGCAAACAGTCATGGCTTTGAAACAAAAGACGAGAGAGGAAAGAACAGGAAGAAAACAAGCAACCGTGTGCCTGTGTGCTTCATAACAAGTCGTTTTCAGAATTGGCTAAAGCAAGAGACAGATTTTAACTACTGCTCATTAAAATCAAACAAAGTAAACTTCACATTTATTAGATGTCCATGGTACAATCAACAGTAATTGGAGTTGTCAAAAGTCACAGATTTCTTTTCGAGATGAAAACATTAACAGTAGTATACAAGGCTTCCCACAAAACTTCTCTCGGCAAACACAGTGGCAGTGATTAAACACCTGTATTTTGATGTTCGTCTATCTTTAAAGACATGTCCGATCACACGAGCTCAGATGGCCCAAGAAGTCTGCATCAGGGACATTCTGGATCATGCAGCACACAACTGTGTATAAAAATAACATGCTCTCCTATTACTTCATTTCAGTGAAATAATGAGCCTTTTACAGTTTTGACCATGACACGTGCTACGACATTGGTGCATATACCTAGACAAATAATAGTCTAGAATACACAGGCCCATCAGTAAACATTCAATAGGTCACATCCAACTGAACTCCACTGAAGGCAAGATACGAGCAGCAGCAGGCATCCACTTTATCTCAACAAAATCAACTCAAACCATCGCACACTTTCATGTCCATGTTCTTTTTAGTATACAGCCGTCTTAAATGTTAAATGTCTCCACATGAAAAGTGCCTCTAGGATGAACTCGAAGCAATAAAAAGGACCGTGTGTAGGTTCTATTGGCAGAAATATAATATATTAATTATGTTTTTATTAGTGTACAATGACCTGAAAATAAGAATCGCTCTTTAGCTTGGAATGAGCCCTTTAAATCTTGTCGTGTTTCTACAGTAACTCAGAACGGACAAACCAAACACTGGCCACCGTAGTTCTCCGACACGCTCGGAAAGGGAGGGGTGAGTGGAGGGGTGTTCAGTTGGTTGCAATCTACAACTTCACCACTAGATGCCACTAAATCCTACACACTGCTCCTTTAAAACATTAGCTTGTGATGAACAGTTTACATCTGCCATCTTCGTGGTGTTGAATTAGGGATGCACTGATCCGACTTTTTCAGTCCCGATAACAATACTCATACCTGGGCTGTGGGTATCGGTGCATACAGAGTACCGATCCGATACCAGTGTTGAATTAATAAGCTGTATGCCTCACTGCGTGGAAGAGACTGGGAGCATTCTTTTATGTGAAAGGCAACACCAGGTTTGACTTAAACATTGCTTTGTAACACAGAATGTAATAAGTAAATACTGTTATAAAAATGTACGGAATTGTTATTTTATATCATTATTCATTTTATTAATAGTATCCTATACCAGATCGTCCTATAGCCATAGATATCCAGCTATTTGAGTCAGTATCAGACCTATATCTGATATCGGCGCATCCCTAGGTTTAATGTGAGGAAACATCTGTGTGTGACTAAAGCACCTGATTGTGTGTTTGTTTTCCGAGGTTAGTCCGTGTGACAGTGATTTCGTTAGGTCTAATTGGCGTTGTATTAATGTGCAGTATTGAAGTCACATGACAGGACGTCGACGGTTGGCTTATTTCAGGAAGACACATTAGTCCGTTTTTTCCGCGATCCGTCCCATCTTGGTGCGTATGTTGCGCGCGAAGAAGAAGGCAACGGTGGCCACGACCATGATCAACTCGGCAACCCAGAAGGCCGTGTCCCAGCTGTGATGCTTGGCGATGGTGCTGAAGGGAAGGCCCGCCATAAAAGCCCCGACTGCAACAAAAGGAAAGCTCGTTTGGTCATGCGAACGTATCAATGCTGGAATACTACAGCAAGTGATTCAGGTGTTTCTGCTGGTTTATGTGAATTTACCATTAGCCATCAGAGCTACAACAGCATGAGAGGTTCCACAGAAATTTGAAGGAGCACTTTCACTGGCTATCACCCCGAACAAGGCGATCGGTCCGTAGGAAGAAAATCCAAACACAGCACCGAGGAACAGGATCCAGATCTGTGTGCGACAACGAGAAAACACAGTGCTCTCCAACACTTTCCTAAGATTCAGTACAGCAAATCTTTTATACCCACGAAATCCTTAACATTTTTGAGCATACCTCTTTTTCTGATACACCAACAAGGACAGAGACAGGATGAAGGACTTGGACCCAAAGAGGAGCCTCCTGTGCAAACACAATGAGCCACTGTAATGTCCACTTCAAGCATTTTGGAAAGTAAAGAAAAGAAATTAAGTTGCAATTACCGTCGGCATCTCATGTGTGATGGTGACCCTGAAGAGGTACATGGACACGCACATGCCGGCCATCATGAAAATGAGCAGGCCGTGGCGAGGGTTGCCGTGGGTGCCCAAGCCTTGCTGGAGGAAGTCAAAGAGAGGATGGTACGGAACCCCGCTCAATAATCCCAGTCATGTTTTGCCTGATCTAGCCAAGCTCCGTTACTCACCCGAGCTACGGCTCGATCAGAGAGGAACCCTGCTGCAAGGCTGCCCACGAAACCCCCCACCTCCAAGGCACTCATGTAGGTACTCCCTGTGGGAAACAAAGCAGCTGATGTCAGCACCCCTAACCAGTCAGATGGAGTGTAAAACCAGTGAGAGGCGATGGACAATTAAAAAAAATGCACACCCATGAGAACAGTCTGGCCTTTCTCCTGCATGAGGAACAACTGTCCCCAGTCAGTGGCAGCTGTCTTCACCCCGAACACCACCAAGTAGCCCAGAGACAGCAGCCACAGGAAAGGGGAGAGGAGGAACTCCCTCAGGGTGCTCTCACTGTTGCCTGGGGAGGGGATAGACATTCACAAGGTCAAATGAACTAGAGATCAGCAATGGGTCGATATACATGATGCAGCACAGTATGCAGTAAGGGTACTGGTATGTGTGGGTTATATAACTATTATAATACCTTACTCTACACAGCATACCAGTGATACTCACAAAAATAAAAATAAATTGAGACAGTGGGATTTTTATTTGCACTTTGAACGTAATTAAGGTATCAAAATGCATAAACAAGCATCAAGATGGACTAATAGAGCTTGTTTATTTAAAAAAATAAAAAGTACCAGGTGAGGATCTTTACTCAGGGGTAGTCAAATAAAAGTCTTATAGTCCCCTCCCACATTTCCACAATGACACAGATCAAGGAGGGATGGATTAAGAGACTTATATTTAACCATGAACACAAAATTAGAGAGTGGTTGTTATTGATGAGGTACTAACTGCTCTGCCTGCACGTGGGAGGACATTACTGATGTCAGGATCAGAATTATTATTAATGACCTCCTCTGCCTGATCTGCATAGTGATAAGGGTTTAGGAGTTACAGCTTTGACTATGTATGTAGTTGTAATCCATCACACTCAGGTGGTTAAGTAGCAATAATTTGGAAACATACCCAAGTCCAATCAACAAATATATTCCACCATAATTAAAGCTACTACCTTTCATTGTGTGTTGATTTTGGCGGTCCCTGTGGACAAAAGTGGTTGAGCCAGAGTCCCTTCAGAAAACCTCTCATTTTACGCAATTTTAATGTTAATGTCGTACTTCTGGAGTTGCATTTACGCTTCAAAATAAAAGAGCTAATTTGTGAAGATTTTTTAGAAGGAGCTGTATTTAACATTCAGAGCATTAATATAGCAGCAAACCACTATTTGCTCTGTAACGATCTAGTGGAGTAATGTCTACCTGAGCAGAGAATGAAGTCACTCTCCCTCTGTGTGTGCCGTTATCTGAGCTTCTCTGGGCTTTGTTGACATAGTTGTGGCCCGCTGCGTGTGCTTTTAGTGCACGTTAGTACATGTGAGCGCGACCACTGGTGAGCTCTTATAAACCTCCTCACACTGCAGTATTAACAGGCCCCTTGGATGCTGTGTCAGTTACCAGACGTTTGTCATACAGTCATTTGACTAATTGCAAATATTGCAAGCGTGGTTGTTGGGTCAAACCCACTGTTGGGATGTTGGGAGCTAACACGGCACCATGTGACTCACATGCTTTGAGGTAACCATCCTCAGCTACACAGGAAGTGGCCTCTTTACCCACTGTAAAAACCTGCTGGCTCTCATCTCCTCTCTTCTCTTACCTCCCTTAGCCCCCTTCTTGGCCGCTGGCTCGATGCTGGGCAGGCCCACGTCCTTTGGCTCGTTCTTTATGAGCACCACACAAACAAACGAGAAGGAGGCGCAGAGGATCCCCGACATGGTCAGGACAGTCCTCCAGTCGTAGTACTGCAGGAGCACCGTGACCAGGATCGGACCCAGACTCCCGGCCAGGTTCATACTGCAGGACAGAATAGACCACCATGTTCCAAACTGAGAGGGCTCAAACCACTGGTGGAAAAAGAGACGCAAAGAGAAAGCAAAGCAGAGGATGCCTCAAACCCTTCACTGCAGGCAGAGAATGCAGACTTATTTAAATAATGTCATTTTAATATGCATGTTTAAAACCATCATGTACTGTACGTATTGTCGGCTGCTTTCCATGCTCCATGTTCCTGAAGCAACCCACAGGTCATGGTCAGAGACACGCTGATTCACATCTCCGCCAGGAGAATCATGCGATCACTCTGGTTCATGAGTTTGTGAATGAGTGTGAACCTCTGCGTCTGTCCACAGCTTATCTCTCATTCTGCATCATATTTGGGGTGCCCTGTTATGGCTGCATGATAAAATACATCACACATTCTCAAAAGACCATTAGCCAACTGTGGGTTGTAATCATTCAACATTACAGCATTGGTCGTTGCAGACACACCTCGCAGAGATCACCTTTCTAGTTAAATTGTCTTTCAGAGTCTAAAATAGCATAGTTTGCATTTTCAGCACTTTCTTTTGCCAAATTTCCAATTATGCTTTTATTTTACTGCTGCTGGAGAAATGGCATCAGAACCACATGCCCTCACGATGTAACACAGCTGAAAACAGCCATGAGCATTCCTCACGCAGCATACCCAACAGAGTAACCAGTAACTTGAGAATCCACTTGGCAAATACTTAAGAGCAGCCCCCAGGCTGAATTAACACCATGTCGATCCACATTGTGCAGATGTTAACTCTGTTCCGTGGAACAGGAGCTACAGAAGCCATGAACAACTGGTGAAGACTTGGAGCTATCAGAAGACTGTTTGAGAAAAGGGAAACACCTTTGGTCAAAGTTGTTTTCCTTTCAGAAAGATCTGCTGAGGATCTTCTATAAATACCTTCTCCTGTAATCTGATCCCCTTCAAGCATGCTGAACACATGCCAAAGCCTATTTATTCCCTCACCTTTTGAGCACTGCTACTAATAAGGCAGCTTCTCGGGTCGACTCTGAGTGCAGAACAGCTGAATGAGTCGAGCTTTGGTCAAAGAGCGTTTGTTTTCAGAGTCCTGCCTGCGATGCGAGCCATTCACCAGAGCTTTATGATCCAAAAAGCTGGTTGTGAATGAGGCCTTCGCCGTTTGCTAGGTAACCCTGTAATTTCTCAAAACTATCACCGCTGCCAATATCACCACCACTTGCTAGTACAGAGAGAAAACCAGACAACATGTCTGGCAGCAGGTGGTTCCCACACTCCGGGTTTGCACCCTTTCAACCAGCTGCTCGGAACAATCGCAAGCGTCACGAGCGGCCTTGCGTGTCGAGAGCGGGACATTTTGCTGAGTAAGGGGATCTGTGTCGCATGAGGTGGCAGGCAGTGCAGTGTTACCTTGCGCAGCACTTTCCCACACGGGGGCCAGCCGCAGCCTTGACCCAGCCCGTTGAAGAACCAGAGCAGGGCGAACATGGGGACGGTGGAGGACCAGGAGAACGCCACGTTGATGCCGCCCACCAGGAAGAGGCCGATAGAGAAGAGCCAGCGGGCGCTGATCTGGTCCGACAGCACGCCGCTGATGAACTTACTGATGGCGTACGCCATGGTCTGGCTGCTGGTGATCAGACCTGCAGAGACACAATGAAGGTTACTGTTAAAAAACAATGTGCAAAGAAAGAGACTGTAGCTTCGTACCCACGAAGGCAACCAAAGATGCATGAGACTTAAGTCATTTCACTGCCAATAAGATCAAACCAGTAGGACTTAAAAGACACCAAACATGGCAACGTGTTGCATTAGACATTTACATGGTTCATGTGCAAGGAGGATTTGGGGTGAGGGTGAGAATTACAAAACATCAAAGAGTGGGTGAACTGACTGGTGGCCGTTCAGTTTGCCACACTGCATGCTAATGCCTTTGCACTGTGCTTGGATAGCAAGCTAAATGAGACAGATTTAGGACAGATTTATTGCAGTGTTTTCGCCAACAACAGCCTCGTTACAGACCCAATGATTGCTTGAGCCAATATTACTTAACCAAACAAATAAGAAAAGATGCTACTCTCTCACCCAAGTCATCTTTGTCCAGTTCGATCTCCTCCATCACAGAGGGCATGACGAAGGAGAAGGTCTTCCTGTTGAAGAAGTACAGCGCGTAGCCGATGAACATGCAGGAGAAGACGGCTGCTCGATAATAGCCGTAGCCTGTGGCCCCCATGGTTGCAGTCGGTTCCGAAAACACAGACGCAGAACTTCGGGGTGAAAAAAAGAAGAAGTATTATTTCCTCCGAGTTGTGTATTCAGTGGAGTCTTGTGTTTGAATCCAATCGAAGTGAGAGCTGCGCCGTTGGGACTGTTCTTCTTAAAAAGTAGAGGTTATTAACTACTTGTTTGCACTGGGACGGCGGAGACAGGACGCAGCATTGGCTGGGCGGTGCTGATTAAATGTTCTCCATGAGGAGGACAAACACTCCTGACAGCTCTCTTCTTGCCGGCTGGAGGCTCGGTCTGTCTTATCTGTGAGGCTGCTGCTTGTAGAAAACGAGGACAGAGGGAGGAAACCTTACACCGACCTAAAAAAACAAAAACACCATAATAAATAACAGAAACCATTACGACTGGTCATTCTGAAAATTGCAGATACTTAGCACATGGACACTTTGGTTTGAACAAGTAGATAAAAGACAATTGAATGATATTTTGTTTGGACACAACAAATGATGTATAAATGAATTAGGAGAAAAGTCTTCATGAATAAACAGAGCACACTTTCTTCTCATAGCAATGTGACATCTGGAGCCGCGCGCGCACACACACACACACACACACACACACACACACACACACACAGTTGACCCCCAGCAGCCACCTTGATATTTCCAGCCCCCACAGGTTCAGGATAAAGTGACATTCTCTAACCGCAGCTTGGTCTATGTTTCACTCGTCATATAAATACAAAGTTGCTGCTCTAACGCGCTAGATCTGTTTTGGGGGTCTCCAGGCAGCAACCCCGAAGATATCAGGTGTCCAATAAGGAACTCACATAACCGACGCGGTTTGTATCCTATTTTCAAATATAAAACGATACGAGGAAGTACGAGGACCTCAAACAGCCTGTAAGTTTATCCATTGCCGTCATGAATCCGGAGCATTTAGCTCTTAGATGTATGTACACACTTCAACTCCCTGGAGTTGACCTCTCTGACGGAGGCCTGACACAGACAGAGTGCATACGACAACATTACACATGACAATGGACTGAAACTCTTTGAACAGGACCATTCTTCGCTCCCGTTGGTACACAAACACCCTCAGTTAGTGAACGTTACTCGTGGCGAACTAAGGTGTGGGGCTGCGGTCCTTTTATCCGAGTGTCATTCGGGGCTTTAACGTCACCAAATGCCGACATAAAGCAAGAAATATCGATGCTCTGCGCCGTCTGAAACGCCGGTTACCGTGTCGCTGCCACGGTGAATGGGGGGGGGTTAAGACATTAAAGCTGGTTACCTTTCATTCGCGTCCCTCTCGCTGATCCCATCAAATCCCAACAAAAAAAAAAAAAAAAAAAAAGGGACGACGCGCGTTCATGAATCTGCAGCTCGTGAGCGCGTCACCGTGACACACTCGCAGCAGCCAGCGTGGCCACGAACCACCGCGCACACTAGTTACAAATGTTGCACTGCGATCCTGGTGGCATTCCTAACGCAATGAATTCATGCCACCCAACTCCATTTCAAATATGCGACTTTAAATGTGTAATTTCTCACGGCGCTGCCAACGTGGAATGCGTCATGGTCCAAAACCGTTTCGGGATCAGTCAGACCTGCAGAATAAACGTCGGCATAGTCTAGGATCTAATATAGGCCTATATAGGCCAATATTATGTAGATCTATTATAAAACACTGCTCACCACTGCCATCCTCTGGCGGCATTATTGGTTTAATGTGTGACTGCTTTAACAAAATATTTTAATAGTCAGCAAAAACATGCATGAGTATTAATAGTATAAGTATTAGTGAATAGTTATAGCAGAATTATATGTTTATTTTAAAGTCATAGCAGCGATACAGCTTGTGCGATGAGACAGCAACCAAGGTCGTCAGATTCGCGTTTGCCAGGTCAAATCAGGTCACCATCAAAGCCCAAAATCACTGCTGGGAAAAAGGCAAACTTTAGTCTCCCGTGTGTTTGTAACGTCTCAAAAGTGGGATGTCCTCGAACGCATCATCTGGCAAAGAAGGACTAATGAAGTTGGATGGGTAAAACAGTGCTGAGAGGACAAACTTAAAGCTCCACTAGATATGGCACTAAAAAAAGATATTTTCAGTGCAGTAGGCCAGTATTCAACAGAATCAATTTCATTTTTGAAACAGTTCACAGGAGATTTGATCTCTGGGCAGCAGTGGTGTCAGCAACAGAAGAATGCAGATGAATTGTCAGAATGGCTGTTGTTAACGTGCAAAACAGTCTTTGAGCAGAGTAAACCTTTGGGAGACCTACGCTCAAACGCTGTTAATTATGAAGCTTGAGTCAGGTGACTAGCTTAGCTTAGCATCATGACTGAGAGGCAGCAGGGCACCATAAGCTGCACTGGCCCTCTTCACTGACAGATAGAGAGACACATCCTGACTGTAATATAATGCAAAGCATTGCATTGTGGGATTGTTGGAAGTGTAAGTAGTGTACATGTCATGGTCACTTTGAATTTTGAGAGAACTGCACAGTGCATCCATTTTACACTCACTCTGTGTCCTATATCCAGACTACACACTAATTCTAAGCAGGCTTTTAGAGTATGCACAGGAAAAGTGACAAAAGTCAGTGTGCAGGCTAGAAACAAATACTGATTTTAAGTGTGTTGCTGTTCGACACTTTTCTCCTGGATGGTGGAACATCAAAAACATTTAGGAAAACTGAAAAATAACTGTTGAAATTGAATTGGCAGTGACATTCTAAGAAGATTGTCTTGATGTCCTGTATACAAACTGCAGAAAGCAGTATGCTATATAGGTTAGTAGTATATAGGGCAAAGACTTCAAAAAGAATGGTGGAGGGTAAATATAGTGCACCAATGGGGAGTTGTTTCAGACACAGGCCAGGACCCTGAAACTGAAGCAGCTGAACGGAATTCCACTTTCATTTTATTACTCACACCTGTGCTTTTCTGACAGTGACATGTCAAAATGTCTGCTGCGGAAAAAAAGGCGTATTGAATTTCGTTTGCTTCACTTTTTGTTTACTGCATTACTCTCTTCAGTGATATCCGTTATACAGTATGTGGCTTTTATAGTATCCTTTTTTATTCTTTTTTGATGATGATGTAATTTGTGCTCCTGTGTTGTTGGTAAGTCTTTGTGAAAGATAGATAGATAGTTACTTTATTAATCCCACAAGGGGAAATTATTTTGCTACAGCAGCATTTATATAAGTAAGCAACAAAAATTGCAGAGTAAAAAATATTAAATATGAATATACACAATATATACATAAAATAGAATAATATAAAATGAACTAACTAAACAACGTGACTCTCACTGTTTGAAATTTGTATCCCGTAACCAATATACAATATATAGTTAATGACCAATTCATTATGGGCAGTCAGGGCGCTACACAACCACTGTCCACCCACACCCTCAGACCTGTATCATAGTATATGGAGTTTAGTGGCCTAATAAAAAAATCCACTTAACTTTTACCAGAGCAGAGGCCAAATCAGCTACAATTACTAAAACACCTGCCAATACATTACCACTGTAGAGAGTACGATCGTGATCTTGTCTTTGTATAAACTCTTTGGTTAGTATTCTGTCACTGAATGCCTGGTTTCTTCTCCATCCAGCAGATGGAGCTAAAGGTATGTGCTATTTGTGGTGGACTATTAGGCCGTGACAGACTGGTGTATGTATTTTGCATATGTAATATGACAGAACAGGTAGTATGGTGCATATTCCAGGAGGCCATGCAGACAGTTTTATGTAGATCAAATGACTGAATCATTCATTTTTTTTCCTGTTGACATCCAAAGTCAAAATTGTGCTTGTTTGTTTCCTGTGAATTTTGTTTTTCTTCTGAGGTGAGAGTTTTTATTAATCCTTAAAATTGGTTGAGAATCCAGCTCCGCAAGTGAACCATTTAGAGAGTGATGGTACACAGTTTGCTCAATAAGTTCATACTCACAGTTAAGAGTCATTCAATCATACAGTATGTAGACTGGTTTTCTATCTCTGTTTTTACACTTTGACATGTTGACGGGATGTTCATTCAAATGTTTCAGTGTTATTCACTGTGAATGTGATCTAGCTGACCAGACATCTTTTTTTTTTCTCTCCACCCAAGGACACGGCACCATTTTGAAGACACAAGGTGATCCTTTTTCTCTCGTCTGTACTCTGTAACCTGCAGAGTGGATGCACTGATCGACGGTGAGTGACAGCCAGCCGCATCCACAGAGAGAGGGAGTCCTCTGCACTGCATCAAATAACACATCGGTTGTTCTTTACAATACACAGTATACACAATTAATGTGCTGTGGAATCGGGAGGCAATCGTTTTTTTGGACACTATTGCAATGACGCAACCTACATACATACCTCAGCCTAGTTTTAAATTATTCAAGACAATGCCCCATGGCTGTATTGTGTAATGAATTCAAGATTAATTTACTCCCAAATGACAGAAAAGTGGATTTAAAGGAAGAAGCATGAGAACATCGAAGCTAGCTCGGACAACGTCCAAGACATGATGTTAGGACTGATGAGGAGACCTCACCCAGTGAGCACCAACCCGGATTTCAATGTTGATTTCTGGTTGAAAACTGGTTGAAATTGGGTCTGAACGTCTAAGAACTATTTTTACTGTCTGTTCAACCGGCTAAAATGCGGTTACAACATCAACGTGTCACAAAACACCAATTTGTTTTAAAATATTGATGGTTTGTTCAGTTGTAGGTTGATAGAGACACGATATTGGTTAGTTTGAAAGTATTTCTCCAAAGTCATATTACGCTGGCGGGTGAAATGTGGTCTACACAAGACGTGATTTCAATGCATTTAATGTTTCATATAAAACGTCATCATAATGGAACTATAGACTGTGCTGTGAACAAGAAGCTCCCAGGACATCGTAATGAGAGCAGAGTACATTCTCGGAATACGGAATTCGGAGCACATCCTCCGCGCGGCTCTCAACATGGCGACAGCTGAGCCGGCGGCTGGCATCTAACGGTGCTAACAGCTCAAACGACGGCAACGGAGCTAACAGTGTTTCACCGGATGGGGAACTCCGGAGCGTGGGAGCAACACGTTCTGCACTGTTGGTCGGGACGATGTTACTGTAACCGCCGAATGAACACACAAAGAAAATAGTTGTTTGTTGCATATTAAAATGGTCTCAATTTAGCACTTTTAAATAAAGCTTATTTAATTATCTTTCTGTTTCTGTTTATCTGTCTAAAGGCTACCTCAACAGCACTGATACTTGGAATAACACTCCAGCATAAGAGAAATAATGAGTCTCGGCTCATGGCACCTGTCCAGATGAACCACATTGCGGGGGGGGGGGGTGTTACTCCGCTCATTCAATCGACTCTTACCAGCAGCAATCAGGGTTTCCCATGCCACAGTGCAGGAATAAGCTTCACATCCCAATTAATGCATCAAACTCAGCCCCTGCTGCTGGGGACTTGGCAAGGCCATTACAACTCCCCATCCTTCTCTTTCCCCCTATCTCCCTGCTCTGGATGAGGATTGAACCCCCTTGGGGTTACACTTATTTCTTACAGATCCAATTTCACCCATGTGCAGCACTGCGTCAGCGACACTGTTGAGAAAATGTCATGCGTTCTCACCTCTTCTTTTGTAATCAATTAATTTAATCTTCATTGTGTTTTGGGGGAATTGGTGCAGACTTCCCAAGAATTCAAATATACATAGGCATACATAGGCGTTAAGGGGAAAATACACAACGTTCTCCTCTATGCAAACGGGAATATGAGGAGGTATGTGTCCTGGGGTGGGTTATGCAAATGTTTCCTTGAGAGCACTTTTAATTGTATCAAATACAAAAAAATAATGAATCTGTGTAATGCAATATTTATGAAAAGTGAATTTTATTTCTCCTGCATCAAAGGCAGATGGACTCACTATGCAATCGATACTCTGCATGGGGTGTATCTCCCAAAGGCAGCTCCTACACCAACACTTCACCACCCAAAGCTGCGGGGCAGAGACCAATGGGAAGTGAGGAAGCAGATCACAGGTGCAGAGGCGAAAAAAAAATACACAAGGAAAGATGGAAGTTTAATAAAAATGTAAATTCCTCTCAAGAGTTATAAGAAGCAATTTGAGGATCTGCAGAGCAACATTTGGATAATTGGACGGTATAAGCGAGCTCATGGGCTGTGTTGATTGTTTATTGAATGGAGGGATGGTTCCTGACCCCGGTGTGCTCGTCGTGAACATGGGATTGCAGACAAACTGTATCACATATCAGTGCAGCGCCGACTTGTAGAGAGTGTAGCCATGCGTCCAGTGAGACGCTGCATTAAACGTCGCTCACCGCCACTCATGTACGCAAATTGTAATCCATGATAAAACAGGAAGTAGTTACAGGAGTATGTTAGCAGTGCTGCTGAGGGTGAATGTCACATAAACTCCTTCTCTCTTGAACTAACAAATTAAACGTGTCGCTCTCCGTCCGGCAGC